TTCTATGTTTAACAAGATCTGAAAGGGGGGGAGGGATCCTTGGGAAAGAAAAGGAGAGAGAAAGAGAGAATTGTCAGAAAAGTTTGCCTCTATTAAAGCATGCCAAGAAATGGAAAACAAGATCTTTTCATTTCCTGGTTCCTGTATTTTATGGAAGAAAATAAGCAGAGGCAAATGTTGCCCCGTAAGAGTCACTAATGCATACTTTCTGATTTCAGTCATATAAGATGTATGAAGTATAAGGAAACGCAAGGTAGTGGCTCAATGACTGATATCATTATTACATTGCTTCTATGTATTAAAATTTCCAAAGTCAACATGAAAACATGTGTTCAAATAAAGTATCTGTCTCTTCTGTTCTCTCTAAGCAAGCATAGAATTGTTCTGGAATATGGTGGGTGCCTGGCCCATCTTGAAGTTACTCCAGAGTTCTGACAGACAAGGAACTATAGTGAGCCTTCTAAGTCAACTTGCATCTTCCCAGTCTCCTCTCAACCATAGAAGGGCCGATGATCCAGCTCCTAGATTTACAAAGACCTTTGGCTTTTCTCTCTGCAGTTTTTCTCACATCTTTCCTCCAATTCAGATCTCACTATTATTTCAAAGGGAAAAGGAAAAATTTCAGAGGCAAATTGACTGATTTTTGTTTTGAAAAATTTACAACACTTTTGGGTTGTGGGTTTTTTTATTTATTGTTTATTTTATTTATTTATTTATTTATTTATTTATTTATTATTCATGTGTGTGCTCTTGAGCACGTGCAAGTGTGCATGGGGGGGTATCAAAGGGTAACCTTCAGGTGTCCGTCTTATCTTTCTACCTTGTTTGAGACAGGGTATCTTCACCACTGCATTATTCAGACTAACTGGACCTTGAACTTCTGGAGACTCTCCTGTCTCTGCCTCTCATCTTCCCTGCAGCATTCTGGGATTACAGATGCCTGTGCTTTTATGTAGGTTCTGGGGATCCATCAGGTCATCAGATTTGCAGGATAAGGGCTTTTACCCACTGAGCCATCTCCCCAACCCTATGTAAACTATCACTTGATGGAAAGAATGCTATAAACATGGACTAGAAGTTGGTCAAAATTGTCTATGAATTTTAATTATCACAGTACTTATAACTATAGAAGGTTAATTTATGCATTGATATTTTACAGTCAACTTCACAGAAAAGTGACTAATACACAGCCTAAACAGATCAGTCTACTAATGTCTAAATTGTAGTGTGTGGATGTGTGAGATGGTAAAGGTACTTGCCACCAAGCTTGACCATGTCAGTTTGCTCCCTGGGATCCGCATGGGGGAAGGAGAGAACCAACTCCCAAAAGTTGTCCTCTGACCTCCACAAGTACACACACACACACACACACACACACACACACACACACACACATCAATAAATAATTAAAATATTTATAATGTAGTTTGTAATTCGTGACAGAGACAGGAAAATGGCTGAGGGGGTTTATGAAAATGCTAGAACTTGTTGGGTGTGCTAGGACACACCTGTAATTCCAGAATGTCGCAGTCTTAAGTAGGAGGTTCAAGACCAGCCTGGGCTACAGTACTGAGTTCAAAGCCAGCTTGGCAATTTAGCAAGGCCCTGTCTCAAAATTTTAAAATGGATGGAAATGTAACTCAATGGTAGACAGTAGTAACTCAATGGTAACTCAAGCTTGCCTAGCATGCTTGAGGCTCTGGGTTCAGTTCCCAGTATAAAGAGAAGATAGGAGAAGAATACCAAGGAGAGGAGACTTGAACTAAGCCTTTTGTTCCGAGCTGGGGGCGGAACCCAGGGTTTTATATATGCTAGGCAAATGCTTTACCACAGAGCTACATACTCAACCAAGAAAAGTTGAGCTTAATCAGTGAAGTGGGGGAAAGAAGAAAAGAATACCAGTCAAAGCACAGAGAAGCATAAGCTATGGGTGTTAACTCAGTTGGTAGATGGCTTGCCTTGCATTCATGAAGCCCTGGGTTCAATCCCAAGGACTGGATAAACGGGGCCTGGTATAATTGCAGCACTCAGTAAGCGAAGGCAGGAGGATCAGAAGTTGGACTGACTACATAGTGAGTTTGAGGCCTGTCTTAGGAAAAACAAAACAACAAAAACATAGAGAGCCCTGAAAACTAAGGTCAGAGTAAGGAAGTCTTTGAAAAGGAGGCTTAGGAGTTACATGACTCTGCAGAATGCAGGCTGAAGGTCATAGCTAGGCTTTGAAAGAGAAGAGTGCTATGATGGGAAAACTGCTTGGAAAGGGTCAAGAGTCAACCAGGCCACAGGACAGAAGAAGGCAGTCAGTCTTCTTGATTAAATCTGTGGCATCTACTTCCTTGGCTTGGAGTCATGCTACCTCATAACCAAGCCTGGACTTTATTTCAGGAACAGGAAAAAAAGAACTTCACACATTTTGAGTCCTTGAAATATCCCAGACACTGCTTGAAGCCTTACATCAAATGTCTTACTCAGTCCACACAAAACAACTCTGTTGAGGTAGCTGTTATTATCCCCATTTTAGAGAGGAGTAAACTGAGTCAGGGAGCTTGACTTTGATCACACAGCTATGAGATGACAAAGCCTAGTTTCAGACCCACATCTGACTTCAAAGCTCTTAATCTTTCCATAACACCAAGACTCTTTCAGCATCTGTGGGTGAAGTAAACCTGGTGTGATATTAGTAAATTGGTTCTACATTTATTAAAATAGTTGGATAGCTTTTTTTCTTTTTTTGAAACAGGTCTCATGTAACCTAGGCTGCGTTTGAGCTCCTGATCCTCCTGCCTCCAGGTCCTGAGTGCTGTGATTATAGACATGCCACCACACCCAGTTTAGGATTTATGTGTATATGGTGTATGTATGTGTGTGCATGCATGTGTGTGGGGGGTTCACTCTGTTCATGTACATGTGTGTGTGTGTTCACTCTCCTGCATGCGTGTACATATATATGTGTGTGGGTTCATTCTCCTGTGTGTGTACATGTGGGGGGTTACTCTCCTGTTTGTGTGTTGACTCTTCTGTGTATATTTACTCTCCTGTGTAGGTACGTGTGTGGATTCATTCTCCTGTGTGTGGCTTATGGAGGCCAGAGGTCAACGTCTGTTATCTTTCTCAGTTGCTTCTCCACCTTTTTTTGAGATAGGTTCTCTTCACTGAACCTGGAGCTCACCTTTTCAGTTAGACTGACTGATCAGTGAGTTCCCAGGATCTGTCTGTCTCCATCCCCCAGCACTGGGGTTACAGACATGTGCCACCATGCTCAATTTTTTGCATGGATGCTAGGGAACCAAGTTCAAGTTCTCATGCTTGGTTCAGCAAGAACTTTACCCACTGACCCATTTCTCTAGCCCCAGTTTAGAATATATATATATATATATATATATATAATGGGACAAAGTAAAGTATATTTTTTAGTGCATGGTCCAGCAACCCCTTCCTCCAGCTAAACCCCACCTCCCCAAAACATCATTATATTATACATCC